TAATAAGTTAACTGCATGCATATGGGGTGGAGAGTACAGTAAGTTAACTGCATTGAGTGGAGAGTATAATAACTTCTATGGCCGACATTGGATTTTAAGGAAATTTAAAACTGCCATCATTGCAAAGAAATCTTCCTTTTTATTTCAAAGACGAAACACAAGGATACCTCTGACAATGTGAAAAGCAACGCTTGGTATGACAATTATAAAAATGCTGTTGCAAAAGTAGCCATTTTGCAAAGGTACAAGTAATTCACGAGACTTTGTTTTTAGAGTTGAGTGAGCTACAGAACAAGTCCATTACTTGTGTGGTTGGCACTCAGGCTTGAGGGGGGAATGTTCTGTTTGAGAAAATGTATTATAGAAACTTAATTGTCATTCTAAGTATAGCAAGTATTCTGTGACTTTCTTTAATCTGAGGAACAATGTAGGATTTGGTTGTGGCTAGTTCGGGTGCTGAGTGTGACTTTGTGTGATAGGTTTCAGGTGTTTTGCTATCTGTTTGATGAATGTCGGGTCCTGGTCGGCTGAGTCTGTCGTGTTATTGGACTTGAAGCTGGAGGAATTGGTCCTACGTCTGCTTTGGGCAATCCAGTTTGTCCACCAGACCCGAACATCCACTTATTGATTAATTAGTCCTTTACATTAGAATTGAGAATAGAATGTTCACAGTATCAATCACAGAGGATGAAATAATCTGCTGTTGAAATGGATTGGTGATGTAGCCATGCCGTCACTGCCGCCTCCGTTTGTTCAGCCAGCTTTGATCTGGTTGCGTCCACAAGGGTTTCCATGAAAAGTGAAGTCAAGTCCGAGGCGAAGTTGGAGGGACCAATGATATTCCTTCAAGAACATGCAAATAATCAAGAAACGACAGCTTTTATCTTCATTAAAACCATGGGTGTATTTTCATAGGCAGGCAACTGTTAAATCATCACAGTTTGTGCACTTTCAGGTCTGACCTAAGGGACCTTGCCTCCTTCTATATCATCTGTGATAGGGAAGCATGTCTCATTGCAAAAATGAATGTACTTATTAACTTTTTCATTGAAAAGAGGCACACATTTGCATCTGAATGGATCCCTCTGACTAATAGTATCAAGCTGTGCCTGATCACTTTCCATTCTGATGTGTTGTGGTAGATCGATTCGTCAAGCGGGGGTCACATCCGACTCCCATGTCGACCCCCCCTTCGCTGTTCTAGGTGCAACTCAAACACAATCACAATGTCCAAAATGTTGGGCTATTTTTTATGTCTCCTAGAAAGAAGGTTGAACACATACAATAGAAGTAGGGTTACAATGATGTAAGGTGATGTAAGATGTTGATGTCAGTAGGTAGCTATTTTACTTGATGAACGTTCTGGATATTTACATAGTTTCCTCTAATTATCATGGATATACAACTCTTATACACCATGATGAGCACTCTTCTATTATTTTCAATGTTCCTGATTGGCGCCTTCTATTATTTTCAATGTTCCCCGCTTACAAGCGAGTAACTTTTTCTATGTACCCTTTTTTCTTTTTGGTACTTCGTGGTAGTAATTCTTTATCTCGAATCAATTGAATCAAGTATGATATACAGAAATTACCGATGTTTGGCGAATGCAAATCGATGGAAGGGAGATAACTCTAAATTTGTTTTTCTTGTCATCTTGTCCTCGATACTATGATCCGATACCCGTGCTTCAAACAGTTCAAAATTACCATTGAGGTGTTCGATAAGATAAATACGTTGTTCACTGGTCCCTCGGGGCCCATGGGTTGATGTACCCTTAATGTTTCTTTTTGTCTAAACATGTTTGTGAGATAAACAAACATCGAGGGTACATCAGCCCATGTCCCCCTCGAGACCAGTGAACAACTTATATTATACACCATGTCAGCCTCCGTCATACACCATGTCAACCTCCGTTATACACCATGTCAACCTCCGTTATATAAGCCTACCGGCTCGGGTGACACTGCTACAAACAGGCGTACATCAGACCGTACTACCCTAAAGAGAAGCATACAACGTATTTATCTTACCGCCTTGTTAAATATACAAAATATCATTTTAATTTATGTTAAAGATCGCTACCGACTATATGACACGCAAACAAAATGGCGTCTGCCTCTCGACTGGATTTTTAACATCAGTGAAACATATTCTGACAAGCATAAAACTGTTATAAAAATTGTTAATTATGTTTAAGTTGAGTGTGCAACCACTCAATGTATAAAATAGCTTAAATAAAGCAGTGAAAGTCAGTAAAATATATCTGTACTAAGTGAACACAAAAACAGCTGATCAAACGGTTTTCGAACTCCGGGCACGGCATGCGTCATGTTATGACGTCATACGATTGTTAGCGCTACAGCCTGTCGGCTTGGCGGTTACCGTGGCAGCGAGTAATATTTTTTCCAGTTGTCACCCTCCTGTATCCCTCCTGGTAGGGTGACACGGAAACTTGTTAAACCGTCATTGACCAATGAAATTAAAGTATTTTACATGAAGGTAAGATAATACACCATGTCGACCGCCGTTATACACCATGTCAACCTCCGTTATACACCATGTCAATCTCTGTTATACACCATGTTGACCTCCGTTATACACCATGTCAACCTCCGTTATACACCATGTCAACCTCCGTTATACGCCATGTCAACCTCCGTTATACGCCATGACAACCTCCGTTATACACCATGTGAACCTCTGTTATACACCATGTCGACCGCCGTTATACACCATGTTGACCTCCGTTATACACCATGTCAACCTCCTTTATACACCATGTTGACGTCCATTATACACCATGACAACCTTTGTTATACACCACGTCGACCACCGTTATACACCATGTCCCCTTGTAGTCTGAGGGGTGTATATCAGAGGCTGTAGTTTCACGCTTCACTCAGATCAAGGTGTTGTCTCCATCACGATAAGCTGAATGATTGTAGCGACATGACCTTCTTCCACATAAAACACCAGTGTGAAAATATCGAGTGAAACTTCACATCACAATTAGGAGATGATTGTAAATCTATTGACTGAGATTTTGTGAGATTTTGTGAGATTGGGGACCCTGTAAGATGCACAAACAGGGGACTTTAGACTCCATTGTATGACTCCACTTTCAATAAAATATTCAATAAAGATAACAGTCTATGGAATGAAAGGATGGCAGACAAATTTGATTTTATTGAATAAATTGATGAGAAAATGCATTGTTGCCGATAAAACTAAATCATATTTCATTAGAAGATTGAGGAGACATGCATGGCAGTAGCAGGGAAGGTTTCCGTATTGCATCGCTATAACACTTTGTCGTTGGTGATTTATGGCAGGAAGTTATTGCCCTGCCATTATTTAATTCTTGTGCAAACCTATTTTCAATTCAGGGCCATCTGTATATACAAATATCTTATGGAAAAGGCCATTGCCTGGTGTTGACACTTTGGTTTTCTGCAGCGGGGCGCTGTATAGCATAGACCTCATCAGCCAGTTAGTGGTGGTTTTGCCGTTTTATACGAGCTTCACATGGCGATCTGTGTGAGTACAAGGCATGATGGGAAAACCCAGACCTCTCGTTACAGAATGTCTTGCATGATAACGCTGAACTCAGTCGCTGAATTATAAAAACATATAAAATTATATTGGCTCGCACAGGCCCTCATTTGCAATAAATTTGAGCTTTAAACTGTACTTTGTTTAGAGAATTAATCAGAAAGCTGTTACTACGGTCTTCGTTTGACACGTTTAACATTCTGCATGCAGAGATATAATTCCTTTATTACCAGGGATAGGGCCATTTTCAGTCGACTTGATGCTTTGTGCTATTCACCATGCTACAAATTCACTATCTCAATAAACTTTGATTGGCTGCATTGGCTGCAGTGAGATTCCTGTTTTGACAGTTGCGCGGAGCATAGTAAATCACATGCCCTGTTAATAATCCCATGATGCAATGCACATCTTCCAAATAGGTTATTTTATAAAAATGGCCGTTACAGCAGTGTTCCGAAGAAAGCAACCCAACCCGAGGTTCGCTGGCTCTCATATATCAACATTTTGACATCCAATTTTGCAGGGAATGGCTGCCCCCCTCAAATCAATTCTCATCCTGGTTTCAGGGAAATGACTTTTCAATTGCTAAGAAAATAACAGGTGTTTTGCATATTTTTTAAAAGGCGTTCTCAGATTTCTTCCTAAACAAGACATGGTAAAGGCATCATGAGTGGGTATTTTGTCAACTGGTCTCCATCGGGGACATGCTTCTGCAGCAATAATACACATGTTAAAACTTCCACAATTACTTTAGTCAAATGTCAGGGATGGCTATCAACTAGCCTTGTTGTTTATGATTCAGGGTTGTATATAAAAAAAAGACGTTTCTAGGATTTGGGCCCAAAACATGTTCCCTGATGTATGTCCTTCAGCGGGGCTTTTCTGTCCTCCTTTGAGGGGATTCAGGGGCACCTGCTGTACCTTTGTGGAGGCAGAATGGGGATTCTTTGGTCACAATGGTGTGTGTCAGGTGTAGGATGAGAAGACTGTTAGAAGGTGCTATTGTACAAGTTTATCATGTGGCAGTTGTCTCCCGATGTTCTTGGAACACTTTCGATGTTCAGCAAAGGTATATTCCGTGATCGATATTACCAAGTCAATAAGGTATAGTGGCACAGAGCAGAGCAGACTTTTTCAGGAACAGTTTGTGGATGGGCTCTTTATGAGGAATGACAGTAGTGGAAAATAGTTGTATCTTGTCTGAATTGATTGATTCTACAATCAATCATCAGATTGCATACATTGTCTAGACTGGATATCGTTCTTTGTTTTTATAGTCGTTTTTTTCAAGTGGTTGTTACCACTATCGAATATAACAGAAGATGCTCATTTATTGTGTGTGTATCATATGCAAGTCAGTATAACGAACTGGTATCAAGGCACCTCTTGATGAAAATTTGCTATGTATTTTGACATCGGTGTTAATGAATTGTGTTTAATTTCAGGCATAACTGCGGAGTTGTATTATGTGAGAAATGGCATCATCAATAACTACGCCCTGACCTTCAACTTGCCATTGCCGCCAGACATTGACGAAATCTACTTCACATGGCAGAGACTGCGAGAACAACCAGCAGTAAGTACACATTGTTATACTGACCTTCACCTTGGCCCGCGTTCAGAATGACCTGCAATGAAATTGTTTCTTTAGGAAATGTGGGTGGAGTTGGCAAGGGAGGTAATCTCACCGCCCTCTGACCACAGTAGGCTTGAAAACACATCAACACGCCATGAAACCTAAGTCATTCACGACTGAACTAGTGGTTTAAGCCATCACAATGGACTTAATAAATGACTTGGGGATTCAGATTCGATGATGAGATAAGTAAGTTGGAATGGGCTGGTCCGGCTCTTTGATTCGGCGGATTGGGTGCCATTGAATATGGTTTGCTCATGCTGTAGACCTGTAGTTGGTCTGACAATGTTTACAGGTCGCTGTGACCTAGCGTTAATATTGCTGACTGTGGCATGAAACAACATTCACTCAAACCTTCCCTGTGAACTTATGGTTTTGAGGTTGTGTGGGCAAGAGAGAAACAAGTTTAGTTTGGGATTCAAGAGAAGAATTTATGGGATCCAAATATACGGGTTGTCACAGTGTGCCTACCTGATGTGTCAGTGGGTAACGTGATACTTGACTAACAAGAGACTGTCGCTTCGATACCCTTTCTGTTTAAGTCAAATGTGTGCTGTGCGTTCAGTTTTTCCATTTTGATTTTCAGCAGGCGATAACTTAGCTTTGATGCAAAACTCTTATAATTTCACATTTTGTAAATCGGTACAGCCTCAAGACATGAATCTGTGAGTAGTCTAGGATATCATGTATTGTACTATCTGTATTGTACTAGTGATGTATTCAGGAATTGTGTCATCCCAAACATAAACCTTACGCAAAGTGAAGATCAGTTGTCCAAAATGACTGCCTGGCTATTGCTGGAGGGAAGACCACTGTCTAGAGAATGTGTCCAACCCAACTTTGATCTCCGATTCATACCAACTGTGATCTATTTGTCACCATAACCAACTCCGGTGTTGTATGTGTGAGATATCACCTGTGTTGTGTGTGAGATATCACCTGTGTTGTGTGTGTGAGATATCACCTGTGTTGTGTGTGTGAGATATCACCTGTGTTGTATGTGTGAGATATCACCTGTGTTGTATGTGTGAGATATCACCTGTGTTGTGTGTGTGAGATATCACCTGTGTTGTGTGTGTGAGATATCTCCTGTGTTGTGTGTGTGAGATATCACCTGTGTTGTGTGTGAGATATCACCTGTGTTGTGTGTGTGAGATATCACCTGTGTTGTATGTGTGAGATATCACCTGTGTTGTGTGTGTGAGATATCACCTGTGTTGTGTGTGTGAGATATCTCCTGTGTTGTGTGTGTGAGATATCACCTGTGTTGTGTGTGTGAGATATCACCTGTGTTGTATGTGTGAGATATCACCTGTGTTGTGTGTGTGAGATATCACCTGTGTTGTGTGTGTGTGAGATATCTCATGTGTTGTGTGTGTGTGAGATATCTCCTGTGTTTGTGTGTGTGAGATATCACCTGTGTTGTGTGTGTGAGATATCACCTGTGTTGTGTGTGTGAGATATCACCTGTGTTGTGTGTGTGAGATATCTCCGGTGTTGTGTGTGTGAGATATCACCTGTGTTGTATGTGAGATATCTCCTGTGTGTGTGTGAGATATCTCCTGTGTTGTGCGTGTGAGATATCACCTGTGTTGTGTGTGAGAGATATCTCCTGTGTTGTGTGTGTGAGATATCTCCTGTGTTGTATGTGTGAGATATCACCTGTGTTGTGTGTGTGAGATATCTCCTGTGTTGTGTGTGTGAGATATCTCCTGTGTTGTGTGTGTGAGATATCACCTATGTTCTGTGTGTGAGATATCTCCTGTGTTGTATGTGTGAGATATCTCCTGTGTTGTATGTGTGAGATATCTCCTGTGTTGTATGTGTGAGATATTTCCTGTGTTGTGTGTGTATGTCATCACCTGTGTTCTGTGTGTGAGATATCTCCTGTGCTGTATGTGAGATATCACCTGTGTTGTGTGTGTGAGATATCTCCTGTGTTGTATGTGTGAGATATCTCCTGTGTTGTGTGTGTATGTCATCACCTGTGTTGTGTGTGAGATATCACCTGTGTTCTGTGTGTGAGATATCACCTGTGTTGTGTGTGTGAGATATCACCTGTGTTGTATGTGTGAGATATCACCTGTGTTGTATGTGTGAGATATCTCCTGTGTTGTGTGTGTATGTCATCACCTGTGTTCTGTGTGTGAGATATCTCCTGTGCTGTATGTGAGATATCACCTGTGTTGTGTGTGTGAGATATCACCTGTGTTCTGTGTGTGAGATATCACCTGTGTTGTATGTGTGAGATATCTCCTGTGTTGTGTGTCTGAGATATCTCCTGTGTTGTGTGTGTGAGATATCACCTGTGTTGTATGTGTGAGATATGTCCTGTGTTGTGTGTGTGAGATATCTCCTTTGTTGTGTGTGTGAGATATCTCCTGTGTTGTATGTGTGAGATATCACCTGTGTTGTATGTGTGACATATCTCCTGTGTTGTGTGTGTGAGATATCTCCTGTGTTGTGTGTGGGTGAGATATCTCCTGTGTTGTATGTGTGAGATATCACCTGTGTTGTGTGTGAGAGATATCACCTGTGTTGTGTGTGTGAGATATCTCCTGTGTTGTGTGTGTGAGATATCACCTGTGTTGTGTGTGTGAGATATCACCTGTGTTGTGTGTGGGTGAGATATCTCCTGTGTTGTGTGTGTGAGATATCACCTGTGTTTTGTGTGTGAGATATCTCCTCTGTTGTGTGTGTGAGATATCTTCTGTGTTGTGTGTGTGAGATATCTCCTGTGTTGTGTGTGTGAGATATCTCCTGTGTTGTATGTGTGAGATATCACCTGTGTTGTGTGTGTGAGATATCTCCTGTGTTGTATGTGAGATATCTCCTGTGTTGTGTGTGTGAGATATCACCTGTGTTGTGTGTGAGATATCTCCTGTGTTGTGTGTGTGACATATCTCCTGTGGTGTGTGTGAGATATCTCCTGTGTTGTGTGTGTGAGATATCTCCTGTGTTGTATGTGTGAGATATCTCCTGTGTTGTGTGTATGAGATATCTCCTGTGTTGTGTGTGTGAGATATCTGCTGTGTTGTATGTGTGAGATATCACCTGTGTTGTGTGTGTGAGATATCTCCTGTGTTGTGTGTGAGATATCACCTGTGCTGTGTGTGAGAGATATCTCCTGTGTTGTGTGTGGCTGAGATATCTCCTGTGTTGTGTGTGGGTGAGATATCACCTGTTTTGTGTGTGTGAGATATCACCTGTGTTTTGTGTGTGAGATATCACCTGTGTTGTGTGTGTGAGATATCTCCGGTGTTGTGTGTTTGAGATATCTCCTGTGTTGTGTGTGAGAGATATCACCTGTGTTGTGTGTGTGAGATATCTCCTGTGTTGTGTGTGTGAGATATCACCTGTGTTGTATGTGTGGGATATCACCTGTGTTGTGTGTGTGAGATATCACCTGTGTTGTGTGTGAGAGATATCACCTGTGTTGTGTGTGAGAGATATTACCTGTGTTGTGTGTGAGAGATATCTCCTGTGTTGTATGTGGGTGAGATATCTCCTGTGTTGTATGTGTGAGATATCACCTGTGTTGTGTGTGTGATATCTTCTGTGTTGTGTGAGATATCTCCTGTGCTGTGTGTGAATTATGTCCTGTGTTGTGTGAGATATCACCTGTGTTGTGTGTGTGAGATATCACCTGTGTTGTGTGTGTGAGATATCTCCTGTGTTGTGTGTGAGATATCACCTGTGTTGTGTGTGTGTGTGACATCACCTGTGTTGTGTGTGAGATATCTCCTGTGCTGTATGTGTGATATATCACCTGTGTTGTGTGTGTATGTCATCACCTGTGTTGTGTGTGAGATATCTCCTGTACTGTGTGTGTGAGATATCACCTGTGTTGTATGTGTGAGATATCACCTGTGTTGTATGTGTGAGATATCACCTGTGTTGTGTGTGTGAGATATCTCCTGTGTTGTGTGTGTGAGATATCACCTGTGTTGTGTGTGTGAGATATCACCTGTGTTGTATGTGTGAGATATCACCTGTGTTGTATGTGTGAGATATCACCTGTGTTGTGTGTGTGAGATGTCACCTGTGTTGTGTGTGTGAGATATCTCCCGTGTTGTGTGTGTGAGATATCACCTGTGTTGTGTGTGTGAGATATCACCTGTGTTGTATGTGTGAGATATCACCTGTGTTGTATGTGTGAGATATCACCTGTGTTGTGAGTGTGTGAGATATCTCATGTGTTGTGAGTGTGTGAGATATCTCATGTGTTGTGTGTGAGAGATATCAACCCAGTGTGTGAGATATCACCTGTGTTGTGTGTGAGATATCACCTGTGTTGTGTGTGTGAGATATCTCCGTGTTGTGTGTGAGATATCACCTGTGTTGTATATGAGATATCTCCTGTGTTGTATGTGTGAGATATCTCCTGTGTTGTGCGTGTGAGATATCACCTGTGTTGTGTGTGAGAGATATCTCCTGTGTTGTGTGTGTGAGATATCTCCTGTGTTGTATGTGTGAGATATCACCTGTGTTGTGTGTGTGAGATATCTCTGGTGTTGTGTGTGTGAGATATCTCCTGTGTTGTGTGTGAGAGATATCACCTATGTTCTGTGTGTGAGATATCTCCTGTGTTGTATGTGTGAGATATCTCCTGTGTGTATGTGTGAGATATCCCTGTGTTGTATGTGTGAGATATTTCCTGTGTTGTGTGTGTATGTCATCACCTGTGTTCTGTGTGTGAGATATCTCCTGTGCTGTATGTGAGATATCACCTGTGTTGTGTGTGTGAGATATCTCCTGTGTTGTATGTGTGAGATATCTCCTGTGTTGTGTGTGTATGTCATCACCTGTGTTGTGTGTGTGAGATATCTCCTGTGCTGTATGTGAGATATCACCTGTGTTCTGTGTGTGAGATATCACCTGTGTTCTGTGTGTGAGATATCACCTGTGTTGTGTGTGTGAGATATCACCCAGGTTGTATGTGTGAGATATCTCCTGTGTTGTATGTGAGATATATCTCCTGTGTTGTGTGTGTATGTCATCACCTGTGTTCTGTGTGTGAGATATCTCCTGTGCTGTATGTGAGATATCACCTGTGTTGTGTGTGTGAGATATCACCTGTGTTGTGTGTGTGAGATATCACCTGTGTTGTATGTGTGAGATATCTCCCAATTATGCAGGTGTGAGATATCTCCTGTGTTGTGTGTGTGAGATATCTCCGGTGTTGTGTGTGTGAGATATCACCTGTGTTGTATGTGAGATATCTCCTGTGTTCTGTGTGTGAGATATCTCCTGTGTTGTGCGTGTGAGATATCACCTGTGTTGTTTGTGAGAGATATCTCCTGTGTTGTGTGTGTGAGATATCTCCTGTGTTGTATGTGTGAGATATCACCTGTGTTGTGTGTGTGAGATATCTCCGGTGTTGTGTGTGTGAGATATCTCCTGTGTTGTGTGTGTGAGATATCACCTGTGTTGTGTGTGTGTGAGATATCTCCCGTGTTGTGTGTGTGAGATATCACCTGTGTTGTGTGTGTGAGATATCACCTGTGTTGTATGTGTGAGATATCACCTGTGTTGTATGTGTGAGATATCACCTGTGTTGTGAGTGTGAGATATCTCATGTGTTGTGAGTGTGTGAGATATCTCATGTGTTGTGTGTGTGAGATATCACCTGTGTTGTGTGTGTGAGATATCACCTGTGTTGTGTGTGTGAGATATCACCTGTGTTGTGTGTGTGAGATATCTCCGGTGTTGTGTGTGTGAGATATCACCTGTGTTGTATGTGAGATATCTCCTGTGTTGTATGTGTGAGATATCTCCTGTGTTGTGCGTGTGAGATATCACCTGTGTTGTGTGTGAGAGATATCTCCTGTGTTGTGTGTGTGAGATATCTCCTGTGTTGTATGTGTGAGATATCACCTGTGTTGTGTGTGAGATATCTCCGGTGTTGTGTGTGTGAGATATCTCCTGTGTTGTGTGTGTGAGATATCACCTGTGTTGTGTGTGTGTGAGATATCTCCCGTGTTGTGTGTGTGAGATATCACCTGTGTTGTGTGTGTGAGATATCACCTGTGTTGTATGTGTGAGATATCACCTGTGTTGTATGTGTGAGATATCACCTGTGTTGTGAGTGTGTGAGATATCTCATGTGTTGTGGAGTGTGAGATATCTCATGTGTTGTGTGTGTGAGATATCACCTGTGTTGTGTGTGTGAGATATCACCTGTGTTGTGTGTGTGAGATATCACCTGTGTTGTGTGTGTGAGATATCTCCGGTGTTGTGTGTGTGAGATATCACCTGTGTTGTATGTGAGATATCTCCTGTGTTGTATGTGTGAGATATCACCTGTGTTGTGCGTGTGAGATATCACCTGTGTTGTGTGTGAGAGATATCTCCTGTGTTGTGTGTGTGAGATATCTCCTGTGTTGTGTGTGTGAGATATCACCTGTGTTGTGTGTGTGAGATATCTCCGGTGTTGTGTGTGTGAGATATCTCCTGTGTTGTGTGTGAGAGATATCACCTATGTTCTGTGTGTGAGATATCTCCTGTGTTGTATGTGTGAGATATCTCCTGTGTTGTATGTGTGAGATATCTCCTGTGTTGTATGTGTGAGATAATTCCTGTGTTGTGTGTGTATGTCATCACCTGTGTTCTGTGTGTGAGATATCTCCTGTGCTGTATGTGAGATATCACCCGTGTGTTGTGTGTGTGAGATATCTCCTGTGTTGTATGTGTGAGATATCTCCTGTGTTGTGTGTGTATGTCATCACCTGTGTTGTGTGTGTGAGATATCTCCTGTGCTGTATGTGAGATATCACCTGTGTTCTGTGTGTGAGATATCACCTGTGTTCTGTGTGTGAGATATCACCTGTGTTGTGTGTGTGAGATATCACCTGTGTTGTATGTGTGAGATATCTCCTGTGTTGTATGTGTGAGATATCTCCTGTGTTGTGTGTGTATGTCATCACCTGTGTTCTGTGTGTGTGAGATATCTCCTGTGCTGTATGTGAGATATCACCTGTGTTGTATGTGTGAGATATCTCCTGTGTTGTGTGTGTGAGATATCTCCTGTGTTGTGTGTGTGAGATATCACCTGTGTTGTATGTGTGAGATATCTCCTGTGTTGTGTGTGTGAGATATCTCCTTTGTTGTGTGTTTGAGATATCTCCTGTGTTGTATGTGTGAGATATCACCTGTGTTGTATGTGTGAGATATCTCCTGTGTTGTGTGTGTGAGATATCTCCTGTGTTGTGTGTGGGTGAGATATCTCCTGTGTTGTATGTGTGAGATATCACCTGTGTTGTGTGTGAGAGATATCACCTGTGTTGTGTGTGAGATATCTCCTGTGTTGTGTGTGTGAGATATCACCTGTGTTGTGTGTGTGAGATATCACCTGTGTTGTGTGTGTGTGTGACATCACCTGTGTTGTGTGTGAGAGATATCTCCTGTGCTGTATGTGTGATATATCACCTGTGTTCTGTGTGTGTGAGATATCTCCTGTGCTGTGTGTGTGAGATATCACCTGTGTTGTATGTGTGAGATATCTCCTGTGTTGTGTGTGAGATATCTCCTGTGTTTTGTGTGTGTGTGTGTGGTATCTCCTGTGTTCTGTGTGTGAGATATCACCTGTGTTGTATGTGTGAGATATCACCTGTGTTCTGTGTGTGAGATATCACCTATGTGTAAGAGGTACATATATCACTCACTCTCTCCGACCTAGTTGTTGTTTTCACCAGATCCTGGTATTCTCCCCAGTAGACCTGTAAAGGGAAGTGGCATATGCCACACACTGCCAACTCCCTCACTTACCTGTGGGTTTGTCTGTGACACATGAAAGAATGCATTTAGACAATACAACAATAGATGATTCTACAGTAATGTCAAAAGGAGTGATTAGGAAAGCTGCATGTTTGGATCATTATGGAATACAGCTCCTGAGAGTATGCCTATTGCCTTGAGTGAAAAAACCACAAACCGTGAAATTGACAAGCAAACTTCCAAACACTGGCAGACTATTGCGTTTGTGGAGTTCTCCCAGATGAGTGAGTTTCATGAGCTGTCAAGTTGATTTTATTGCAGATTCAGTGATCATCTCCTCGTAAAATATTTTCAGGTCAACTGATCAGGAAAATAGTATCTTCAAACATTTTGATTGTCATCAGATGTCAGTTGTAAGGCATTGCATGGCAGACAGTGGATTGAAGAAGACATTGTCGTTAATAAGACATTAACTGCTTCACGAGCAGGGACCAGGAGGTCACTTGCAGAATATCGGGAGTGGTCTGAGAAAAATAATTTGAAATATGAATTGATATCCTCGTATCTAAAATGCAGTGAATGGAAAGTTTACTTTTGTACCATTAAAAGTTGAGATATCTTGAAAAAGAGTCATTATTCTCATTATTCAAGGATCTGGTGAATTGTGATAAGGAAATTGCAGTGTCAATTCCAGTGTAATACAAGGGGTTGTGTAGCATGTGAAATACACAATCATTGCATGGGAAGCAACTTGTCATACTGCCACAGTGAGCACATGCAAAGGACAGTTTGAATGTTTATAAATATAATTTCAGCTTTTCTATATTGCCTGTAACTTCCCCATGACAGAATTGTTCCACCACTCATACTCAGCTGCAGAGAGCGGAGGACTGCTGAGGACTGCTGGCTATGTCATGACTATTATTATCAATACAAGTGTCCATTAATCTGTACAAGCGCTGTATGTATGTAATTCACACATGACAAGCTGAGAGAGAATCTTCAAGCTGAAAAAATACTAAAATAATTGGTTGACATGACTTATTCCTCGTGGATATCTCATTGTGAGAGGGCGAAGGGGGTAGCCTAGTGGTTAAAGGGTTCGCTTGTCACACAGAAGACCTGGGTTTGATTCCCCACATGGGTACAATGTGTGAAGCTCATTTCTAGTTGTGTAAAAATTCATCTCACTCACTCACTCATTGTGATGACCATCGTTCAGATATTGATGCATTTCGTTGTACAAACATATAGGTCTGTCTTTGTCTCAATATATATATATGCAGGTGTACTTTAATCTCAGTGTACAGGTATCTCTGGATATGCTGTTTAAAAGAATGACTTCCTCTTGTAGACGCGAATAGCTGCAAAGTTGCTGATGCAGCTTAAGGCAACATTCACTCACTCAATTCCTCTTCAGTTTCACATTTTGTACAGATGTTGATACATTTCTTGTACAAAAACATCGGTCTGTGTTTGTCTCTAAAATGTAGGTGTACTGTAATCACGATGTACAGGTATGTCCAGTGCTGAAGATGAGGTATAGTGTAAGATTCCCTTCCTCCTGTGTTTCAGATGTTTTACAGAATGAAGTTCACAGTGCTTCACGACCGGGCTCTGATGCTGCCCGAGGCCAATATATCTAATGAAGGACAGGTGCCCAGCACATTGTCAGGTAAACTAATTACAATTGATTTCATATTAATTACACTGAATTCATGCATGTTAGGCTGCCAGTTTCTTAGCTGTGACATTACCCCCTCATCTGTGAAGTGAATCATCGCTTGGAGGGGCAGGATCAGCAACGAGCTGATGGATCAACCAGGAGCCAATAGAACACATCTCCAACTTATTGGGCGTTAGTGTTAAATAAATTCAAAGTTCATAATATTCATGTAAGTAATAGATCTATGGTAGAAATAGTGTTCAGAGCATGAGTGAAGTAAAGGATTATATGATACTTCCCCCAGATTTCTCTAGTCCCAATTGGCTCTCAGTAGCACTTTGTGGGGGTCCAAACCCAACACTAACACAAAGACCTTTGATATTCCACGTATTTCTCAGTATTTCTTTGGCGCCCTTAACTTGATAAGAAGGCTGTCATATTTCTGCAAAACCTTTCTGACTATTTCGGATGAGGAATTTCATGAAATAAATCTACCCATGACATATTGAAGTCTCAGTGTGATTCTAGAAATGTCTGTTGAATATACTGGGTGGGGATAATCCTGACAATATATGCAAGTTGCACAGATACTTCAAGAACATGATTGACTACCCTCTCACTATCTACCTGCAGGTGTATAAGTGTTGGGTTTGTGTTCCAGTGTTCCAGGTTCGTCTACCCTGTACAGGTGAGATGAGCGCCCAGGTAGACGTCATCATACAGATGAACATCAGCATATTCTCAGCATCTAATCTCACAGTACTCAACTTCAAGAGGCGGAAAACGTGCATCAAAGGTAGGATGACCATTCCTGGTAGTGTGTTATATCATCCATATGTCCAAAGACGTAACTTTTAAACCCGAGAAACAAGCTCCAGTGAATGGAGCCAAGTTTGTGGCACAGACACGTGCTTCTTTTATTTCACTACATTTCAGATTTCTTACATTCCATTTTTTGTCGGATACACTGTGGAATAACAGGATCTCTGTCTGTAAACATGTAACATGTGTAAATAAGAGAGAATGGTTGGTGCTAGATTTTTGTTTCATGGTGCGTTACTTGTCATAACTGCTTATAACTGTTAGGTCAGTCTATCAACCTATGGGAAGTTTTTGTGTTAGGCCAGTATAATGTAGAGGACGTGGTAGCTGAGTTGTCAGAAGTGCCACAACTTGCTGGCCAGGCTAACAGTCTGTCCTGATCCCAGATGTTCTCCACGTGTATGTCACGGGTGCTTGGTAGATTAGGTGGTCCTGTGGCTTGCCTTCTTGTGGCTTGACATATACCTGCAGTTCTTGAAAGGCATTTAGAAGTTGGACAAACATCAAAACATGTCATGTATTCATGAAATATACCTGGGTGCAAAAGTCAATGATAAGAGTATCTGTCCACCTATTTTTGTTGAAGCTACTGATAATATAGTCACTCACTCACTCTAAGTATTCTCTATGTGAAATATGATGTTATCGATATTTGAGAATAGCTTGCTGGTTTTGGGGAGTATTGTGGCCCTCCTCACAACAAGTACACTTTTCCTCCAGTGAAGTTTAAGCAATGGTGATGTTTCTGTTTGGTTGAATCGTGTGAAGTAAGTCAAGTGTGTGAAGATGGCATTACCCTCTCCATGGAGGAAATACTTGATCATGGTTTTTCATGATCATGAACAGAATATATGAAGATGAGATGAACACAAAAGAGGAATATTGGAGGTTTAGTTGGGGACTTGGTTGTGATTGGCTTACTTCCCTCGATTACATCCACTCCAGTAGAGAAGGCAGTTCTTGTACGTTCTGTCCTTTCTGTAACATATTCCTACCACTGCTTCTTTCTGTATCTTCGCCTACATATCAGTGGACATGTTGAATTAGCCATTCTTACTGATTTTGAAATGTGCACTGGAAAACAATTGACAATATACAACAGGTGGTATGGGTCAGAGGTCTGTGGTGAATATCTGTCTGTCTGGTGTTGGTGGGCCTGACACACCACGAGGGCTGAGGTCCAGGTGAACATCTGTCTGTCTGGTGTTGGTGGGCCTGACACACCACGAGGGCTGAGGTCCAGGTGAACATCTGTCTGTCTGGTGTTGGTGGGCCTGACACACCACGAGGGCTGAGGTCCAGGTGAACATCTGTCTGTCTGGTGCTGGTGGGTCTGACACAACATGAGGGCTGAGGTCCAGGTGAACATCGGTCTGTCTTGTGTTGGAAGGTCTGACACACCTCGAGGGCTGAGGTCCAGGTGAACCTCTGTCTGTCTGGTGTTGGTGGGCCTGACACACCATGAGGGCAGAGGTCCAGGGGAACCTCTGTCTGTCTGGTGTTGGTGGGCCTGACACACCACGAGGGCTGAGGTCCAGGTGAACATCTGTCTGTCTGGTGTTGGAGGGCCTGACACACCATGAGGGCTGAGGTCCAGGTGAACATCTGTCTGTCTGGTGCTGATGGGCCTGACACGACACGAGGGGTGAGGTCCAGGTGAACCTCTGTGTATCTGGTGCTGGTGGGCCTGACACACCGTTAGGGCAGAGGTTTAGGGGAACATCTGTCTGTCTTGTGTTGGAAGGTCTGACACACCTCGAGGGCTGAGGTCCAGGTGAACCTCTGTCTGTCTGGTGTTGGTGGGCCTGACACACCAGGGCTGACACACCGTTAGGGCAGAGGTTTAGGGGAACATCTGTCTGTCTTGTGTTGGTGGGTCTGACACACCACGAGGGCTGAGTTCCAGGTGAACATCTGTCTGTCTGGTGTTGGAGGGCCTGACACACCACGAGGGCTGAGTTCCAGGTGAACATCGGTCTCTCTTGTGTTGGAAGGTCTGACACACCGCGAGGGCTGAGGTCCAGGTGAACATCTGTCTGTCTGGTGGTGGTGGACCTGACACACTAGAGGGTAGAGGTCTGGGATCAGTATCTGTCTGTCTGGTGTTGGAGGGCCTGACACACCACGAGGGCTGAGGTCCAGGTGAACATCGGTTTCTCTTGTGTTGGAAGGTCTGACACACCGCGAGGGCTGAGGTCCAGGTGAACATCTGTCTGTCTGGTGGTGGTGGAGTCTGACACACCAAGAGGGCAGATGTCTGGGATCAGTATCTGTCTGTCTTGTGTTGGAGGGCCTGACACACCGCGAGGGCAGAGGTCTGGGATCAGCATCTGTCTGTCTGGTGTTGGAGGGCCTGACACACCTCGAGGGCAGAGGTCTGGGATCAGCATCTGTCAGGCTGTGGCACCTTCTGTTGTTACATAATGTGCACTTCATTAATCATGGCATGACAAATGGTATGTGCCTGCTCTCAAGCGTCACAGACTTCAACTGGGTGTTTAGACTGAAATCTGCACTTGATATTTTTAGGTAAATGTGATCGGGTCTTTCCAAACCCCTTACACAGAAAAGGAAGTGGCATCTATGCTGAGACAGCGGAAATCATTCCCAAAACACATGTCTTATGCGATAATCTTCCTCTGCCAAAGACCTCTATTAATAATTTCCACGCATGTGCATCAAATGTGTATTGTTTTACATGGACAAGTATTTGTTTACATAACTTACTGCTATTTGGCCATCCTGCCAGAACAATACAGACGAGTTTACGCAGAAATTCGCTGACGTAAACTTTGCGATGTTGGGTCGTAGGTTGTGTAAAATGACATCCCTTGAGCCAACTCCCTGGAGTCGATTTATTTGGACAAATTTAAAGAATGACTTTCGGAGAGCAATGGAGTGTTGTGCCATGTGGCAGCTATTTATGAAGAAACAATAGTAGAAGTGCCATTGTCTTTCGGAAGGCGGTTTGCTTCCATTGCCAAATACATAAACACTTGGACTTGTGGCAGGTGCTTGCAGTATGCTTGCATTCATTCTGCAGTTAATGCTGATTCTCATGGGAAACACAGGCACTTTTTACATGAAAATGTTAATGGCATTTTCTGTAAATATTAAAATGCAGTGAATGTTCACAGTGTATCTGGTGTATGGTATGTAGTAGGTGGATCGAACTGGGTTTCTGGAGGAGTGTCTGTGTAAAAGCGTTTCACGTTTTAGAAGGAACTGGTGATAGGGTGTTCAAGCACCTGCTGAAATGCATCATAGGCCATAGAAGTACCTTTCTGTTGTGAATAGAACATGGATGATTCTCGAACTGCCAATTGTAGGTTTCAGATTGACTTTTGTTGTAAACCTTGACCTGTCACGAACTGTACAACTTTGAGCTTCCCTCCAACATGGAGCTGACACACATATATAAAGACTTACTTACATATGATCTGTATTAATTTGGCTTTCCTCTCAATGTAAGCGGACACAACACGGCTGAAACAATGGTTAATGCCTCTTTAAGCTAAATTCACTCACTGATTGAAAAGTGTTACATCATTTCAACTTCCTGCCAGTTTGACCTTTCCTGGAGTTTTGTGTCCCGATGAAGATGCCATTGGTCTCTGGTTTGTCTGGTCCAGACTCAAACTCTGTGAACCAGGTTCCTGCAACACCCTTTCCATCAGCCGCATGCACTAGCTTTCACTATGATGGAAGACCTGTCTGCTTGTGTAATACAGCCTACTCTCTGTCTTCCCTACTTCAAAGTATCTCGCTGTTGAATTGGTTCAATCAAATAATTCACAGATTCTTTTGTGATCAAAATGTTAGTTTTCTTAAGCTTTGATCATTGATTTTGTTTTCCTTTTGTGCTTACATTATACAAGTTAGGGTTAGGATAATACAACAAAAACCAAACAAATTAGGATGAAATGTTTAATTTATTATCACCTCATTGCATCTGACTTGATCTATTTGATCCACTATTAATGTTTTTATATATGTTATGTTTTATATTTTTATAATATATATGTATGCATATATGTATGTACTGGGACTCTATCTTTGGGGAAATCACTCTACTTCGGCCCTGATTCTGTGTTGAATACTTAAACATATATTTCCAGGCAGCATTAAATTATCTGGCATTTTCAACTGACATTTATGTTTGCAGAGTGAGTGATAATGTTTTTGGCGACTTTTTTTAGATGAAATATTTAGATTATTCCTTCAGTACAAGTTTAAAACAAATGAGAAATGCATATCTGTACCCTGAAGTGGGCTTATAAATCTCTGGGCAAGTGGATGGAAGCTTTTGTAGCAAAAGTGATTATATATAACAGTTGCATAAAAATGGTACAGTAATTCCTTGACAGAATCATCACAAGTCTGAAAGCTGCACCATTTAACAAAGGTCAGCATTTCACAAGTCGACAAGTACACAGTGATTAACAGATTTAGTTGGAAGATATGGACAAGAAATTGGCAGATAAAGTGAAAAAACAATCTGAACAGCAAGAGCAAAATGGTATTAAGTGTCACTGTGCACTTGCAGTGTCATTCAAAACTAGATCTGTAATCTGGACAAGGAAAAACATCAGGCCTTGAAATAGCAGCATTGTGTAATATAAGCTGATGCCTTTGGTGGCATCGGTCTAGTTATCCCTGCAGTATTCCACAGATAGAGGTGAGATAACATCATATATCTCCCACCATCCTTGTTTACCCTCTAACCCTCACAGTTTCCTCCGCCTCAATGACAGGATATACTCTCTAACCAGACAGGTTCAGTGACAGAGATATCCAGCAGACCATATAAATGACTCTGTTGCCAACATTCCTGGATATGATGATTCAGGTTTCAGGAAAATTCTAATCTGCAAATCTCCTGGTAATCTGTTTGTCTGGGTTGCCTCATCTGATGTTATGTGGCTTTTTGTTGAGATTTCTATCAGGGCATATGATCGCTGTGCCCCTCCCTAC